ATTCCCGGTGGCCCAATCCGCCCCTGTATGGAACTGGTTTTTTTTTTTTTAGTTTTCCAACTCTAGGTCCCGGTTATGGCTTTTCACACCATCACATATGCATCATGGAAAAAATGTCATTATGAATTTAGTTATTACTTTATTTTTGCCTTCATTTTAACAATATTACGTTAAAATAAGTAGGTAACATTTTATTTAAAAAAAAGCACTGTCAAAAGCCAAAAGGTTTCCAAGTATTGTACGATACTAAAACAGTTTAATCTGAATAACAAGTTATTATTTCAAATCGTTTGATCAGCCTCTTATAAATTTATAATAATATTTTTCGATTTTTATAATATGATTTCTCGTTTTAATTTGACACTCGTCACTCGTGACATTGCGTAGTACACTACAGACAAGTAGTACACGGGCGCAAATTGGCGTGCTCGGTGCTCACCGCTGAAGGGCGCGGTGGATGGATGTGCTTTTCGTCACCTGTTCAAGTATTGTTTTATACATTTATTTTGTACACGTCCCACCTTAGTAAACTTAATGATTTGATGACTGAAAAATTAATTGATATTTACTTCGCCCCGACAAACTCTGACAAACGCCGTTTGATTCGTTCGTGACAATCGAATTGTTTTTTATGTGAAACAGCGGATCACTGCTTTTTTATAACCCCCAATTAATACAAAGGTATTCTTATGTTTTAAATATTAAATCTTATACTTTTAACAATTTTCAAAATTATAATTGCCATAATTTTACAAAAATGATATACCAATTTATTTTATTTATTTTACATATCATCATATTACATAAATTTTTGTTTTGGTCGAAAAGTGAACTTGAAACTTCTAAAGTACACTATTATATATCTATGGAGTATGGACTATGAATTATGATAGTATCAGGGTTTGTTGTTGACGTATAATGCATTATAACTTATAAGTACCTAATGGATATTTTGATATGATTAGGTAATTTGGAATTTATTATAGGTACCTATTTTAGGTAAATTTTTTTTAATACAATAGATAAGTATATAATATGTCTTATACCTAGACTGACATACCGTCTCCGCTCAGGATCGTTTTTCTTATACAATAATATTACATCATTGAATTCAAATTTAATAACATCCATTATGCAGTGACCCACTTGTAACCTACTGTACAGCAGAGCACCTTTTGTTATTTTATTGTTATTCAAAAACGAATAACTGTAGATACATGAACATTTTACTAAATTATTAACATATTTTCATTTTCTACATAGCATAAATTTGTGAAAATATTTTGATTCTTATTAAATAGGGCAACAAGAAACGAAGAGGGACTAAGAGAAACTTTCTAGATTCTTATTTTTCAGAGTTAATGTGGCGAAGTAAATTAAACGGCCGCGGTCCATGTAATAAAATGGGTTGACATTTTGGCCACCTGCATAATTTTTTAATATTTTCTGCATTATTATTTTTATGAGAATGATATATCATATATTTTATGTATCTATAAATACCGAATGAATGTATGATAAATTATTTAAATGATTTTCTTACTTTTTTAGGAATTATTAAATCATAATCTTATATCTTATATATTATATAAAAATCTCGTGTCACAATGTTTGTCCGGGATAAACTCCGAAACTACTGGACCGTCTGGACCGATCTTGATGAATTTTTTTACACTGTGTGTAATTTGGTCCAACTTAAGAAATAAGCTAATTTAAAAAGGAGTGGACCAACCCCGGGAGGTGCTCAAACGGGAATTTTGAGATTTCCGATGGAAATTTTTGTTTATAAATAGTTGCCATGGATTTTTAAGTCATTATAATGATAATTAAAAAAAATAAAAAAAACTATTTGCTTTACTTTTTAATATAAATTATAATATAATATCTTACTATCAAAATGTGATAGTACTGTTAAAGACCGGCCGGCTAGCCAGCCGGTTCGAGAAGTTCGGATCAACACCCGTAATTGGTTCTTGTTCTTTCTATTTTGACCGTAAGCCCCCCCCCCCCGGGGGCCGCCCGCCTGGTGGACGTATATATAGTCTGCCAGGTCGCGGGGACATAAGCTATTGTTGGAATTGATAACTAGTTGTTTTTGTCAATAAACGATGGGAGCCGGGGAGCTGTAATGCAAATCGTGGTTCTCTCCCCGATCCACGATAATACGAAAAAAAAAGGTTTTCAATAGTTTGGGCGAACTTTAGTCAATTTTACTTAATTTTTTGTTTTTAATGTGACTAAAAACAATGGGAATTCGATGCGGTGATTTAATAAGGGGTCGTGTATAGGCAATTCGATGTATTATAGTCGTTTCGCAGTGTGTTTGTGTGCGAAGTAAATGATCATTAGTGTGCGTAGACACGTTCGGAATCAGTGGTTCGCACCCGCCCGCATGCACAATATGTCATATTATAAAATATTTGTTCCAATGAGAAACTAATTTCAACCTAAAAGCCTGACAAAAATACGATAACTTAGAATGATCGGATTTTAGTTCTGTAAACATATTTGAATTCATCGTTCTTTTTTCTAGGTTATTGTGGGAGTCGATTTTTGAATAACTGTTTAACTTTTTAAAGAAAGGCACAAACAATTTTCAAAAAATTGAGAAATCGAAATATGATTTAACGTGAATTCTAAAAAAAATATCGAAAATTGATTCCCACAATAACCTAGGAAAATTGTCAATGAACTCGAATCTTTTTACAGAATTGAAATCTGATAATTCTAAGTAGGCGTATTTTTGTCAGGCTTTTAGGTCTAAATCATGGAATAAATACGCTGCATCGAATCCCCTAAAAAAAAAAGTTTATGTAACGAAGTATTGTTTCATAAATTCACCTTAATGTTTAATTTTTAATGTTGTTAATATAATTAAGTACAATTACTTATTATCTTTATCTAAACAGTAATGGTTATCCATAGATAATAATTATTATCTTTGTGGTGATTAGTTTTTTCACTTAGGTATAACGGTAAATTAAAATGTTGATCATTATCATTTTGTTGACAATGAGAATAATTTTACACAAAAGCAGGTAAGTGGATGTCGCTCTGCTGTACGACTGTACAGTAGGTTACAAGTGGGTCGCTGTATAATGGATTGTATTAAATTTGAATACAATGATTTAAATTTCAAAAACTTAATTAATCACTTGTCTTGAAAATTGTAATATCTTAACATTTAGTCTTACTGTTTGTAACATCAGATATATGTTCAAAAGGCTGAGGAATTTACACATTTTGGTTCCTCATACAGCTTAATGTTCATTTTAGCAGAATTGGACGTTTTTGGAGCCGTATTTTATTTTAATCGATTTGTATTACGTAAATAACAAGCAGAATTAAAATGATCAGAACAGATTCTGTTTTGTGAAAGTCTAGATGTATAATTTAAACCAATATTTTGAATCCAAATATTACACCTAAATTTTAAATAAATATTTTGATTAGAAAGATAATAACATAATATATCGTCGTTGACACGAAAAAACCTCCCATGTACTTAAACCTAATTTTTCAGGAGAGACTAAAAACGTTTTAAAAAATCACAAATCATTAATGATTAATGAAAATACATTTAAAAAACGTAATAAAATATACATTTCTATTCTGAAAAAAATTTAAGTAAAAAACTTAATATATATGTATTTATTGTACAAATTGTCAATATTTCATCACATAGGAGATTATGTTAATCAATTTTTTTTGCCAAACAGTACATAGGAGGTTATGTTAATCAATCTTTTTTGCCCAACAGTAGAAAGGAGGTTATTTGAATAATAGTTGGTGAAAGAGTAATAATAATAAAACTTATTTTGAAGATTTTATAAAAAAAAAACAAAGTTGTGTTATCTAAGAAATAAATATTTATTAACAATTAATTATAATTGTATAAACACTTAACATAATAAAACAAAATAACTTTTAACTTTATATTTATAATATTATCAATGTACTAACAAAACATAATTGCTAACTTTTATAAGTTATAACTAATTATAAAATGTACAACATAAAATAATAAAAAGCTCTGGAAAGTATTTACGGACTGTTTTAATTATTTGCCTGTGGCCGCAATTGTTGGCGAAAAGAATTTTTGTTGTCATGGGGGTCTGGGTCCTGATTTGCAATCAATGGATCAAATTAGGCAGAATGTGAGGCCAACCGATATTCCTGATCAGGGACTTCTATGTGACTTGCTTTGGTCTGATCCTGACAAAGTAATAATATTATATTATTATTTAATATTTATACTTATAAATGTATTTAAAATACTTAACTGTGTTATTTTTTTTAAGGATACAATGGGTTGGAGAGAAAATGACGACAGTGTATCATTTATATTTGGTGCTGCCGTTGTGAGACAATTTTTGCATAAACATGATTTGATTTTGATGTTTGGTTAGAATTTTTTTTAATTGATTACAATAGTGCACTAAAACACTATTCTACCTAGATATTGTACTAACAATTTCTAGTATATATTTAAAGTGAAATATATAATTCAAGAAATTATATTACACGTGGGGTTTTTAATTTGGTTTTAATTTATGTAACTTAAATATTATATTTTTAGTATAATCTTGTCCAATTTATATTAATGACTTGAGATAGTATAGAGATTTAAAAAAAATATGTTGGACTTAAATCTCTATACTATCTCAAGTCATTAATATAAATTGGACAAGATTATACTAAAAATATAATATTTAAGTTACATAAATTAAAACCAAATTAAAAACCCCACATGTAATATAATTTCTTGAATTATATATTTTACTTTAAATATATACTAGAAATTGTTAGTACAATATCTAGGTAGAATAGTGTTATAGTGCACTATTGTAATCAATTAAAAAAAATTCTAACCAAACTCACCCTAACACAGCTATGTCCCTTAGTAAAGTTAATAATAATTAATGTAAAAATTAATTTTAGTACAAAAAAAATACTTGCGGGTAATAAGCTCCAATTTGTAAAAATTAATTCAATAACATTCATACCTTTAAAATCTGGAATGAGCACAACATCATTGCTCCAGCATAACCAAACTTTCTTAAATAACTTGGTGCTGAAAATAAAGTGACCAACTTGTCCTCTGCAAATAACTCGAAACCATCCTCTACAACTTAAAAATAAAATTACTAAATTAATTAACTATATTAATTTAGTTAATAAAATATTTACAAACCTCGTGAGCCCTACATATGAAATCAAAATCATGTTTATGCAAAAATTGTCTTACAACGGCAGCACCAAGTATAAATGATACACTGTCGTCATTTTCTCTCCAACCCATTGTATCCTTAAAAAAAAATAACACAGTTAAGTATTTTAAATACATTTATATATAAATATTAAATAATATTTTATTATTACTTTGTCAGGATCAGACCAAAGCAAGTCACATAATAGTCCCTGATCAGGAACATCTGTTGGCCTCATAATCTGCCTAATTTGATCCATTGACTGCAAATTAGGACTAAGACCACCATGACAACAAAAAATCTCTTCTTCAACAATTGCTGCCACAGGTAAATAATTCCGTAAACAGTCTGTAAATACTTTCCAGAGCTTTATATTATACCGCTGTTTACCTAAAAATAATATAAATAAATTATTAGATTAAAGGTTTAAAATCGTTTTAATTATTACTGACATTTATTATAAAACCCATATTTTCTGTTTATTCTAGCGCATTCGTGATTGCCACGTTAAAGGATGAACTTTTCGGGGTATTTTATTTTATATGCCAACAACAGACATATCGTCTCCAGAGACTGTTTGCCACGGTCGACATAATCACCCAAGAATAAATAGTTGGACTCAGGTGGAAAACTGCCATACTCGAATAAACGCAATAAGTCTATATTAAAGAAATATTATTGAAAAATTATGGAAAGAATACTCAATTATTTATTGAGATTTTTAAATAATGTTGGCCTTCTTTAAATACCAAAAATATAACTACATTCTAAGACTTTCATTTGGTATGAACTATGGAGGATACTTTTTGCTCAAATTATATGGTATGATATTTATTCCAATTATATTTAATAACTACAAACACAAACATTTTAGAGAAGGAATGGAGGATATAATAACTCATTAATATTTATATGATATAATTTATATAAAATTTGATTCGTGTTTACATAACATGAAACTAATGGGCAATTTCATTGATTAAATAGGAGCATTTTAGATTAACAACTTCAATATTGTTCTTTTAAATATTTGAGATAAAATGTATTAAAAATGAGTCTATGTAACATACAATAGGTATGATTCACAATTTGTTGTACCTATACCTAAGAAGCACAAAAACAACTACAGCATTATATTTATTCGGTTATTTAAATCAAAATATTTACATTCCATATTATTAGATAGGTATATAACACAACCAAAATATATCCAAACAACAGACTGAGTACAGTAACCAATGTTCCTAGTGAGAATACCATAAAAATAGTAATGGTGAGGGTGTATGGCTAAGGGGCGCGTTACACGACATCCAGTCAGAGGTGTTGGAGGTACTCACCACATGTTTTCAACTGCGCATCGAGCTTCAATAGCATGGGTTGCGATAGGAAGATCTCCCTGGACTTGAGGCACAGGCCCATCATTTCACCATCGGACAGCTGAACTTTCTTGCCAGGTCTCGCACCGCGCACTGTTGAACAGTTACAACAATTGTTACAAATGAATCGTCATCGGTCCCAGGGACCGACCGAAATTGGTACCCAAAGGCGGACGGCGGAACCGCGTTACCGTCATGGCCCACCGGCGGCTTACCTTCCAAGAGTCTAGAAATTATGTTGTCGATTTTCAACAATTCGTCAATGTCTGTCATTGTTTCGGCGTGCGCGGTATGTGTGTCGTGATTATTGTCGTGCCGGAGTCCGTGGTCGTGGTGATAGTCGTAGCCGCCGCCGCACAGTGGTCAATGGATCGGGTGTGATGTTAAGCCGGCGTGCGAGATCTGAGGTGCGTGCAATTGACGGAAATGATGCGAGCTGATGGTACGCGCGTTTGCCTTGCCGGGAGACGGATAAAATTAATAAAATAAAATATTTTTCTTTACGTTATCGCGACCGACGAAAAGGGAACGCCGTCGTACTCGTCCCGGGTATGTAAAGTAAAATGTCTGAAATGGCATTTACCACTAAAACGGACGTTACCACGGATACGTTACTACGTTAGTCATCAACTATTTTTTTCCTCTCTCACCGCCCTCCCAACCACACCGGAATCGTTTATTCTTCCACGACGATACCGAATACCGACCGTTTTTCAAATATCGATAGATCTCGCTAGAGAGCGTTCTGTGCTTTACGGCGGCCCGGTGTCGTACCACAGAGTGAACAGAGAGATATATACAGGAAAACGGACGATATTTTGATTTTTACATGCAACGTATATGGAGAACGGTCGAATTTACTAGTTTTTCGCTTTCGCAATACCGCGTTGAGTTGTGACGATATGCGCATGCGTGAGTGCGTGACCTTGGTTGCACGGCGGCGCGGCAGTGTGGCATAGCGCACTGCGCAACGCGCTTCCTACTCCTAATTCCTATTACTATTTCATTTGCTCGCTAGCCTTCGTGCTGCAGGTTGTGTGTAGCACTGTAGCCGTATTGTCCGTCCGTTCGATTATTATTTATTACCATCCGTACGGCGTACATTATTACAATAACAGTGATAAACGTACCGACGGTCGGCCGTATGTTAATCTTTCTCTGCTGTCTCGCGGAGTCCGTATTTTATGCAAGTACTGCATAAACTACTAATTAAAAGACCAAAGATCAATTCAAAAAATGCTCACATATTAGTATTAGAAGAGAAATAATATATAATTATAGAATAGATTATCAAGGTACTTTCCTGTTATACTAGACTACCCTGTTTTTTGAGAACATCACAATCCTGTTATCTAAGACTACCAAAATTATACTTTACTGTTATACGAGACTACGGCTATTATCGCGACTTCCACCAAAGACTACCTCCGTTATGGCGACTACCTATCTTATTTAGCTGACATTATAGTCGAACGATATCCATAAGCTGCGATTATATTTATTATGTTTGTGGATTTATCATTTTGTATTATTATTATTATTTTATTATTTTATTGTTTTCCGTATGCCGCGACAAATTTGGTACATTACAAATAATTATTATGTATTACATTTTTTTTTATATAATTTGAATGTGGCCATCCCCACAATACGTACCTAAATTATTTATTATTTTATTTGTGGATTTACCATTTTGTATTATTATTATTAATTTATTGTTTTCCATACATCGCGCCAAATTTGGCACTTTGACGTGTAACATGTAAAATACATTACGAATAATTACTATGTATTTAAATGTTTTCTTTATTTCATTCTGGCCATCCCCAAAGTACATATTATTAAAAAATCTATCAAAGAAGGCAAGAAAAATAAAGGTGGCCACGTATAACAGGAAGTACCATTTTGGTAGTCTTAGATAACAGGATTGTGATGTTTCACAAAAGAAGTGCGGTAGTCTCGACAACGAAGGTAGTCTTGGGTGGTAGTCGCGATAACAGCCGTAGTCTCGTATAACAGGAAAGTACCATTATCAATATAGAATTAATGTCTCTTGCTTCAGAAAAATAGCTGAAATCTCCAAAAAAAACTTCGGAGAAGTTAAACAAGTCTTCTGTGCTTTACTTAAATGGATTGGAGTACTTGAATTTTGAGGTAAATAAAAAATTGAAATCAATATAAAAATTCTGTGCTTAGTAAGTGCAAGAGAGAGTATAAAGAAAGTTCCTGTTAAAATTGTGGTAAATAAAGAAGTGAAATCAAACCTCAAAATTCTGTGCTAAAACTTAATTGACTATTGAAGAAAATTCGACGACATGCAATTTTACCACATTTTTAGCTACAAAAAAAAATTGCACAGAACGTTCCACATTTGCCCGCAAAAATTCACATGTCATGGATGCACTTCGTTCTGTGCAATTTTTTTTTGTAGCTAAAAATGTAAACTCTCTTAAAAACATTTCATCATACACTAATATTCCATGTTTTTGTTCAGTTCTGAGAATACCAACTTTTTTTTTTAACAACTGAAAAAATCTTTTGTCAAACCCACAATTAATATCTAATAAAGACAAATATTTCCGGATAGTTCTTTGACAAGGTAAAGGAAATATTCCTTGTTCCCTTAAAAATCCATAAGTGGAAGGTGATCTGAAAAAAATTAATAATTAATATTTTTGACCACTCTTTGTCTAAGTGAATATTTTTACCTTATTTTCAACAACATGCATAATAAAATCCAATTCTCTGAATAACGTCTATTTTTTAAATTGGTGACTTTACTAGCATTTACGATTTCTTGGACTATTGTTTTTTGTCTTTTGTGAACTATTTAAGTTTGAATGTTCAACTAAATCATTTAATGATTTATTTGTTAAGTTCTTTGATTTATCTTGTAGTTCACTCAATGTACAATTTAATTGGTTAATTTTTAATTTAAACCTTTGAAAAATAAAATATTATAAAGTATTTTAATAAATAAATAGGTAATTAGTTTAAATTCATTTTACCTTTTGTTGGATTTCTTAACATTTTTCGATTTTTTTTATCATCCCTTTAATTATTTTGTGTCTTGTAGGATTGAGAGTTGTTCCAACATATGTTTTAGTTCTTATAGATAATCTTTTTTTATACTCTCTAAAATAAGGGAACAATGAATTGCACCTTTTACATCTTTTTTTTGAACATTCATTATGGCGCCAGGTTGTATTCTCTAAATTAGTATTCTTAACCCGAATTCCTAAATAAGAATTGGTTTAGGTAGGTACCTATACAGCTGTTTTATTTAACATTTAAAACTCATACCCAAATTTTCAGGATTTCGACGCTTTTGATTAACATAATAGCTCACTTTTAAACTATTTGATTCAAAAACAATTTGTTTTTCAATAACAATTTTAGCTTCATTAATTCTATGAATTTAATCAGCTTATACAATGCAACAATACATCCATCATGTTATAATGACCAACCAACTGGCAATAATAAACTTTCATACCACAGTTTTGATTCCTTTAATAAATCATATGAACTATGAAGTTAGGTAGATATATATAAATTAAATAATCTACATGGTCTATTATGACAATTAATCACAAACATACTGTTCATGTTGGACATAATCTCTTAGGCTTGGGTTCACCAAACAATTCTTTCCTAAATGACTCAGTAACAGGTGTACAAGATTCTCGAGTTTCTGCAGGCAAATCATTTGTTTTTTGATTATCAAATGGTGAATTAAATACTGATGGAAAAGCCCCTTTTTTAGCCCAATTAAATTCCTTTTAAACTGTGTATAGAATTATTGAGTTATAATTTATAATTTATAATGTCCAAGTAGGTACTTATATAGTACCTACCTAAATGGCTAAATACAAATAATTATGTTTTCTTACTTCCAAGTCATTACACCCACTATAACTGTTAATAAAATCTTCTTTCCTAAAATGTTCTATACAGACGTATGTCACTTTACGTTTATGATTACCATTTACTTCATTAATAATTTCCTCCCACGATTCTCGAACTTTAAACAACTGAACATTGGACCGTTCCTTAGTGGTACATAAAAATACTGAACACTGGCGAGGCATTTTAATTTTATAATTTCAACACAAATGTAGAAAATAGTCGTAACTATTTAAATAAATCAAGCAGTAGATCTAGACGCTCTAGTAAGTAGTAAGTACATTTCTAAAGTCTAAATACTCTACTATTTACTAATGGAAAGAATATAAATTATGCAATGAGACCAATGTAATTTATTTTTCTGTGCCAATGTATTTATAGAGAAGTAATGGTAGATGAGCTATAAGCCTACTATAGTACTATACTCTGTTCAAAATAGGACCGGACCTCGGCGGCCGAGTTGTGCGCATGGGCGTGGCTTATTTCTGCGGCTCGGCCTGACACGCCGCCGCCGACGAGAGCGCCGCATTAAGGTCGATTCGCACTATACGGAACGTCAACGTCACGTCACCGATCGGCAACGTCACGTCAAAATATCTTACTATGTATTTATACCGCAATGTTCACATACACCGGCAACATTACGTAACGTCAACGTCACGGAACGGCAACGTTTATCGAAAACTATATTTTGACGTGACGTAACCGGTCCGTTCTTGTCCTTACGGATAGTATGAATGTCAACACGGAACGTTTCCGTCAACAATTTAAATAAACTATATTTTGAATGTGTAAGATCGTTAACTAAAAATTATAATTTTTGAATATTTTAATACTTTAAACTCATCTACTCCAAATGATTCATTTATGTTTAGTCACACTCAAACACCTTCACCTGTAAGTTCCGGAAGGTCATCTGCACAATCTTATTTTGAAAATTTTCAGCCAAATTAACTTTTAACACAGTTAAAGTAATAAGTTTGTTAATAATAATATTAACTATTTTGTTTAAATACAAAAAATACAAAATATAAAATACTATTTTTTTTATTTCTTACCTTAAGCAGACCATTAGTTTTTCCTTGGGACTAATAGCTTCTCGGAATGTAGTGTTTTGTTTTTGAATTTTAGTTTGAATTTTAGTTAAAAGTTCATAAAATTGACTTTGTGACATCCTAAAATATTTATAGAAAGAAATTTCTTCATCTTCTAATTCTTTAAATAATGTGTGAAATTCTCCTACGAATTTCCTCGCAGTAAACATTTTTCGTACCCACGTTTTCTTAGTACGATTAAATTTTTTTTCTTCGTCGTCCAAAATTAAGGCAATCATTGCTAATTGTTTTTTAGTGAACTTCGGCATGATACAAATACGAATATTTAATAAAAAAAAAAAAATGAATTTAAAACACAGAATGTACTAGACCTAGTTTAACCTAACAGAATTCTGGACTGGATGGACTGATGGCTTTTCCGTGACGTTACCGATAATGCGAATGTATTCTATTTTTGACGTGACGTTGCCGATCGGTGACGTGACGTTGACGTTCCGTATAGTGCGAATCGACCTTTATTCTAGTATCGACTGCAGACGACTGACGAGTACAAATAATTTAAAATGCATTGTTTAGCTATGAAGCGTATTAATTTGTACGACACTGTCAGGTCGCCGGTCTGACGTGAATTATCAATGTATATAATTAAATAATAACATAATAAATGCAACGTATATAAAGATTAAGTATGTAATTAAAGTATTGTTTTTTTATAAACATTACATAGATTAGTTTAATTTAATTAATAATCAACAAAAAGCTGAGTATACGTCAGTTATGCATAAATTAAAACAAATTATATACAATTATTATAAGAAAATTATAATACATTCAGTCACTTATACAAATAAAAATTACACAAATATCTACAGTTCAAAAATGATTGGCAAAAAAATATTTACAAATAATTATTATGTACAAAATACATCATGGAAGTAATTACAAGTCATCGTCAGAATTGGAAGTATCGCCTGTTATGGTGAGGACACAGGGTTCTAAATTGTCTATAATTTCATCCATATTTTCGTCTACTTCTGTCATTTTATCCTCCTATGTTTTGACATGTTGAAGAAAATTTTGCCAATTTTCGCTGGTGACCCGTTCAATTGCAGTGTTCAGAAGGAGCTTAACGTCATCGATTTTGTATGTCGTATTGTGCTGTTTGACGTAGCCCTTAACCATTGCCCATGCCAATTCTATCGGGTTCAATTCGCAATGGTAGGGTGGTAATCTCAATGGGAGCATACTACTTGCGTCCGAAATTATTATCAGTAGGTGAGTTGCGTCCCGCAAAAAAAAGGTTCAAAAAGGTCATAGCCGATTTGCGTCCCAGTACACCTTTTTTGTCGTGACGTACCGATTGGCCGACAAACCAATTCGCCGACACACCATTTTGCCGACACCCAATTTGCCGACATGCATTTTTCATCCCGATTTGCATTCATTGACAATAAATTACATAAGTACACTTAAAAATATAATTTTTTTTACTGTTTTAAATTTTTATAAATCACGAACATTGTTCAAGTCAACTATCAAAATATATAGTCTATATAGCTTATCCTTATATGTGCTTTTGTTTTACAAATGTAAATGAAACATTATGGCGTCCATGTACTCCAAGATAGAAATCGCAGCCTAGACACCTTTGTAGCCTAGAATTATATTTTATAACGTTATTAGAAAAAAAATGTATTTTTATATGTCATAAACGTTTTACCTTTCTTTTGCAAATGATAATCTTTCTTCTAATTTTTTGTATTTTGTTTTCATCTTTTGTGCCCAATTGCAGTTTTTTTGCTCTATGAGATCAAGCTCTAAGTTTGTTTGTTGGTTTTTCAGCTCTTTGATTAAAATAAATATGTTTGGCTTTGGTCTACCAACAGCTTTGTTAAGAGCTGCATGCCATCCTTCAAGGTGGTTTATGGTCCTTGCTCCATCTGTATTAAAATGATTCCACATATTTCTATTAAACAGACAAATATCTGGATCCAAGTATGTTTCGGTAAAATAATTTAATAATTTCAGCACACCTAAAATAATAATGGCAAAAAATTAGGTTTTGCTAATATAGTTCTAACAAATTACGTAAAAAGTTATATATTAAGTTATATTTACTTTCTGACTGTGGTGCTTCACTATAAATTTCTGTCCAACAATTATCAATTTGTTCAATCGGAACTAAGGCTAATGAACAAAGACGACGAAAAAATGGAAAAATTAAAACAAACTCACTTTAAGCTTATTCCGAAAACCACGTTCAGCCAATTGAATTCCATGCGACGGGTGTCCATGCGTTTTTGACATTATAGCATTATCTGAATCTTCTCTGTATATTGCTCGACCTCCACAATAAATTGTCAATACATTTATAATAGTGGTTAGAACCTCGTATTCTAGCAACTCAGTGTATAAATTTATCGACAACTAAAAGTTTGCCATCACGCTCAGAATTTATTATAAACCACGACATTACGAGTATTAAGAGGACGCCACACCCGCATGTGTTGTCTCCGTCTTACAAATGTACAACATAGCAAAAACTCTTTGGCGAGGGACAACTTTTCTCGCACCATATTTGTTGTAGAACTACCAAATTTTCACAGCACTTAAAGAAGAACTTTATATGTGCAACAGCGTGCTCTTTTTTTCAATAACATATATACAATACAAGTTATTTGCTTCTAAACATTTGGTTTTTTAATTTGCTTATAAAAAATGATTGGATGGTGCTATTGAAAAAAAGAGCACGCTGTTGCACAGATAAAGTTCTTCTTTAAGTGCTGTGAAAATTTGGTAGTTCTACAACAAATATGGTGCGAGAAAAGTTGTCCCTCGCAAAAGAGTTTTTGCTATGTTGTATATTTGTAAGACGGAGACAACACATGCGGGTGTGGTGTCCTCTTAAATAACTACTGACGTTGCAACTGTCGATGCAATGATTACTAACTGTCAACTGACAAATGTCAATAATATCGTAGTATAATAGTATAGTTTCATCAATATTTTGATTGTAGATTGTAATATTCTAGATTTCCACATAAAAATTATTTTTATATTTTATAAAATTACGTTTGTCGGCGAATTGGAACTTTTTTCATTTTTACCGGAGACCGGTTTCCGCGTCGGCGAATTGAGTAGTCGGCAAATTGGGTGTCGGCGAATCGAGCCTGAATCCCTTTTTTTTATGACCTAATTGCGTCCCAAAATATCGATATAATCGATATAAAAATGTAAAAAAAAAACTATGAAAAAAACTATTCTGAGCGAAAACGGTCAGTCAGCCTATGATATTACTAAGTATATTTCAATCCTTAGCTATAAAAGTTGAACGAATATTTTTCAACTTCAGGAGTATATATTCAATTTTTTTAAAATTCAAACTTATAAAATTACAAATTCATGTTTTATATTTTGTCATGGTAGTAGTAATAATAATAATAATAATAATATAAAAAATCGTATTTTATTAAATTAACTTATTAATTTTTTTTTAATTTGATGAGTGGTTATTTCACAACTATTAGTCTAATAAGACGAATCGTACTGAACTACTGAATAAAAGTAAAATGTGAAAATATAATGGGAGTAAAAAAAAAAAATTATCGACGTAATTGCTTTATCTTATAGAATCTAACAACCAACAATAGATGTATACATGTTCCCATATCTTTTCACATAAAATAATACCCACTTAAATTATTAATAGAATACATATACTATCATATTGTACCTATCATAGATAAATTGTATCTACATTTTAAGTAAGTAACGCACGCACTCACACACAATATGTATACGGTACAGTTTATGGACTATCGATTTTAGTGACACGATACTATCGATTTTAATGATTTTAGAAGATAATATCGATAATAATTATATGGCCGACTTGGGTCCCCAAAACGGGACGCAATTTACCGGTCAAATTAACTACCTGAAAAATATATCTTTTTTTGGGACGCAAGTAACATGCAGCCCCCCACCTAGCAATTAGCGTGGCTGCATACAATTAATGTACCGGCGGCGGCGGCCAATGTTTATAATATCGTTGTGCGGTTGATCATAGTCGCCTCTGGCGGCGGTCTGCTCATGCGCAATTTACACTATTTTACGAGCTTATATGTGTGTGCGTAGACGCACCTCGCATGCACTAACTTAGGCGACGGCGGCTACCGATACCGCCTCTCGCCACTGTCGATCTTAGGCTCTTAGCGCTTTAGCGGTGGCGGTGGCGGCGGCGCCGTGCCGGGCCGGACGCAATATTAAATGGAAAGTGGAAACTATATAATTATAAACTTATAATAGCTCGTAAGTTACGTTGCGGTTGCACTGTTGCAGCGACGAGCAGCCATTCTCGCGTTCGCACAAGTTCTGTACAAAAAAATAATATTCAATATTGTTGTTATATATATATATATATCTAAAATAAATAAATATAAATAAATAAATAAAAATTAAAAATTAAATTATACGATTAACATTTTAAATTTTAAAATAGTACAAAATACCAATATAAATAACCAAATATTTTTTACTTTCGTAAAAATTACAAGTGAGGTGGTGCCTCACGCCCTCACTTGCCTCACTACCAAAACCGCCACTGTGAGGAATCCTCATTGGCGAGAGACATAATGTCACTTAACGGTTCGTTTTTCATATAATTTCTTTTAAATTGAGGAATATGAAAGGACATGGTAAGAACACAGAAGTACGGGTAGAGAACTTCGTAACTTTAAAGTTTATAAGGGATAAAATAGCTGGTGAGTCAATATTATCATTAAATAACGACCACTTTAGGAGTCTTATCTAGCATCCAGCTAAAGATTTGAGGTCAAGAATCTTTGAGACTGGAGTGTAATCGAATGAGAGGTAAAATGAATGCCTAAAATTAAACTTACATACTTTAAAAACTCTTTCAAGCCGAATAGAATCTAGAACCATTTGCAGTATGCTGGTCCCAAATTAGCGGTACTCCCAAATGGGACTCAAAAAATATTGTTTAATACCTACGTATGCGAAACTATAACCGATTAGAATCGTGCATTCGTGCTTGTTGTGTTTCCTTAAGCATTTTATATTGTGTAATATTATATACATATTCTGTACTAGTACGGTGCTGTGCGAAAAAATCTATAGGTAAAAATTTTTTACGGTCATTGCTCATTAATCCATTTTGGACCCGTTAAACGGGTTGTTACATGTTGCTGTATCGGTTGCCTATTGTTGCTTTCATTGTTTAAACTTTAAACCAAGCCACCTATGTAAATCTAAACAAAAAATAACAGTGGCTACTCGACATCAACTAGTATATTTTATACACCCATTTTTCTTTTACGTATTATTTTCTTTGGAATAGAAAATCAAAAAATTCGTTCAAAAAGAGTAGGAACAAGACGCCGTTGCCGCTGCATTGATGAAGTTATGCAGAATGCAGATGCAGACGGCAGACGACAAACCCCACCATCATAGTTCTGTGTTTAATTTGAAAAACGGTCGGTATTCGGTATCGTCGTGGAAGAATAAACGATACCTTTGGGTGGGAGGGTGGTAAGAGAGGAAAAAAAATAGTTGATGAGTAACGTAGCAACGTCCGAACTACGCCATTTTAGATTCAGATTTCAGACTCATTTCACTTTATTACGGCGTTCCCGTTTCGTCGGTCGCGATATCGTGAACAAAAATATTTTATTTTATTAATTTTTTCCGTCTCCCGGCAAGGCAAACCCGCGTACCATCAGCTCGCATCATTTCCGTCAATTGCACGCACCTCAGACCTCGCACGCCGGCTTAACATCACATCCGATCCATCGTGCGCGGCGGCGGCTACGACTATCACCACGACCACAGACTCCGGCACGACAATAATCACGACACACACACCGCGCAAGCCGAAACAATGACAGACAGTGACGAATTGAACATCAACGACTTAATTTCTAGACTCTTGGAAGGTAAGCCGCCGGTGGGCCATGACGGTAACGCGGATCCGCCGCGCCGTCCGCCTTTGGGTACCAATTTCGGTCGGTCCCTGGGACTGATGACGATTCATTTGTAACAATTGTTGTAACTGTTCAACAGTGCGCGGTACGAAGGGCAAGAACGTTGAGATGTCCGAAAGTGAAATTAGAGGCCTGTGCTTCAAGTCCAGGGAGATCTTCCTATCGCAACCCATGCTATTGGAGCTCGATGCGCCGTTGAAAATATGTGGTGAGTACACCTCCGACTGGATGTCGTGTTAACGCGCCCGTTAGCCATACACCCTCACCATTACTATTTTTATTGTATTCTCACTAGGAACATTGGTTACTGTACTCAGTGTGTTGTTTGGATATATTTTGGTTGTGTTATATACCTATCTAATAATATGGAATGTAAATATTTTGATTTATGTATCATGTATGCCACCGAATAAATATAATGCAGTAGTTGTTTTTGTGCTTCTTAGGTATAGGTATAACAAATTCAGTGAATCATATTGTATGTTACATAGACTCATTTTTAATACATTTTAATCTCAAATATTTAAAAGAACAATATTGAAGTTGTTAATCTAAAATGCTCCTATTTAATCAATGAAATTGCCTATTAGTTTCATGTTATGTAAACACGAATCAGATTTTATATCAATTATATCATATAAATATTAATGAGTTATTATATCCACCATTCCTTCTCTAAAATGTTTGTGTTTGTGTTTGTAGTTATTAAATAGAATTGGAATAAATATCATACCTTATATTTTAAGCAAAATGTATCCTCCATAGTTCATACCTAATGAAAGTCTTAGAATGTAGTTATATTTTTGGTATTTAAAGAAGGCCAACATTATTTAAAAATCTCAATAAATAATTGAGTACCTATTCTTTCCATAATTTTTCAATAAATATTCTTTAACCCCTAAAAAACTTAGTTATAAGTACCTAGATTTGGTTGAATTGAATTATTAGTTACAAAAAAAGTACTGTAATTACTCTAAAGGTTTTAACTTTGACTATTCAATTCACTATTAAGTGAGTAATATTTAATATTTTTAAATAAGAATTGGCGGGAAATATAATACAATTTTATAAATATTGTTTAGATTACCTAAATTCTACAAATAAACTCAGTATGGGAAGTTAAGAAAATATTATAATAGCATTTTAAACTCCTGATGTTGAAACATCATGTAATAAATCTTATCAATTAGAACTTGACTCTGTCCCACGAGTGAACATGCCAGTTCTGCGCATCCCTCTGCTGTCAAAACCAGTTCCACTATAGAAGGGTTTCACATGGGTTTGCGCAGAAAAACCGATTTTGGTCGGGCCGTGGCATGATCTCACTTGAAACAGAGTACTTATAGTCACTTAAGATATTTTATGCAAAGAAGACATAAAATATTTTAATCAAAATGTTTGTTAAGTTCATAATAACATTTTTGTAATCACTATCAAAAAGAGTGATTGATAAAACATAATACAATAAACTTTGTGTACAATCGTTGTTTAAAATTAAAATTACATTATACAAATTTAAATAATTTTCTAGATGGTTTAATATATTTTGAACAACATGGATATATGTACACATATGCAGTAAAAAGCATTAAATGGACTTGTCTTATCTAAAATGAACTCTTTTTTTTCTTTTCAAGGGGATATTCATGGTCAATACTATGACTTATTGCGTTTATTTGAGTATGGCGGTTTTCCACCTGATTCCAACTACTTATTCTTGGGTGATTATGTCGACCGTGGCAAACATTCTCTGGAGACGATATGTCTGTTGTTGGCATATAAAATAAAATACCCCGAAAATTTCTTCCTTTTACGTGGCAATCACGAATGCGCCAGTTTAAACAAAATATATGGGTTTTATGATGATTGTAAGTAATAATTAAAACAATTTTAAACCTTTAATCTAATAATTTATTTATATTATTTTTAGGTAAACAGCGGTATAATATAAAGCTCTGGAAAATATTTACTGACTGTTTTAATTGTTTGCCTGTGGCAGCAATTGTTGACGAAAAGATTTTTTGTTGTCATGGAGGTCTTGGCCCTGATTTACAATCAATGGAACAAATTAGGCGGATTGTGAGGCCAACCGATATTCCTGATCAAGGACTTCTATGTGACTTGCTTTGGTCTGATCCTGACAAAGTAATAATATTATATTATTATTTAATATTTATACTTATAAATGTATTTAAAATACTTAACTATGTTATTTTTTTTTAAGAATACAAAGGATTGGGGAGAAAATGACAGGGGTGTATCATGTACATTTGGTGCCGAGGTTGTAACAAAATTTTTGCATAAACATAATTTTGATCTCATATGTAGGGCTCACCAGGTTTGTAAATATTTTATTAACTAAATTAATATAGTTAATTTATTTAGTAATTTTATTTTTAGGTTGTAGAGGATGGTTATGAGTTCTTTGCAAAGCGCCAGTTGGTCACTGTATTTTCAGCACCAAATTATTGTGGAGAGTTTGATAATGCTGGAGCAATGATATCTGTCGACGAAAATCTATTGTGCTCATTCCAGATTTTTAAGGTATGAATGTTATTGAATTAATTTTTACAAATTGGAGCTTATTACCCACAAGTATTTTTTTTGTACTAAAATTACTTTTTACATTAATTATTATTAACTTTAGTAAGGGACATAGCTGTGTTAGGGTGAGTTTGGTTAGAATTTTTTTTAATTGATTACAATAGTGCACTAAAACACTATTCTACCTAGATATTGTACTAACAATTTCTAGTATATATTTAAAGTAAAATATATAATTCAAGAAATTATATTACATGTGGGGTTTTTAATTTGGTTTTAATTTATGTAACTTGAATATTAAATTTTTAGTATAATCTTGTCCAATTTATATTAATGACTTGAGATAGTATAGAGATTTAAAAAAATATGTTGGACAAATAAAAACATTGTAAATGTTTCCTGTTTTCAAATAATAAAAAAGTATGCAAGAGTTTAAATTAATAATAATACTTAAACTTGTTTTATTTGTTTTAAAGACTGATAGATTCAAATACTGGAGACGCATAAAATTCTATGATGCTAATGCATCTTTTCCGTTGTCTAATTACTAAGTCTGAATGGGGCAATCTTTTAAAACCTTTCCTATAGCTGTTCATATTTATTTTCTTATTGACCTACATTATTTTTTAACTGCACGAATTATAATAGAGCAGAGTCTTAAGAATCTGAGTATGCCAATTCCTACCCTTTATTATTAATTTAAATGTTTAATTAACATGTATTCATACAGAGTTCTGGTTATAACCTGGGTATTAATACATTTATATATAAAATTAGCATGATTAGTGATAATTGTTGTTACTTCATTACGAGATTATTAAAGTTATAGAAATAAATAATAATTGTTTGTCAAATTCACTATTTTCATAATGTTGGATATTGGCCTGTTTGTAAAATCATTTCTAGCTAAGTAGTATATATTTATATACAGTGTGTGTAAGAAAATAATAATAAGATTTGTGTGAACCGTATAGGATATTATCTAGCTTATAAAATTAAAACCGCATCTAATACAATAGTCGTTCTCAGGATGCTTTCACAGGAGGAAACTAGCTCTATAATTTAGTACCTGCAAATAGGGTTTAACCTTATTAGTTTAACATTAGAGTATGACAAGTAGTCTCTCCAGTAACGACAAAGAAAGTCAAGCCAAAGATAAAATGGCAATAGCTAAATTGCTGCTTTTGTACTGTACAAACTCATTCAAGGTAACCAATCTTGAGATCTTGACACAGTTATGATAAATTAAATTCTTTTACCTATTGTAAACGTGTTATCTCAAAACTAAATTATTCTTATTGAAATATTTTGTTTAGTATTAATTACTAACTTTAACATGCAAAAAAGTATTGAAATAATAATTATACATTAATTTTATAAACTATTTGTGCAATAGTCTAATTGATCTTTTAAACTATAAATATTTATTCCAGCCGGCCGACAAAAAAAAAAAACTAAAAAAAGGAGGATTGTCATCAGGAGGATCGTCATCAGGCAGACCAGGTACTCCACCCAGAGGATCTGGTAAACAAATAAAAAAGAATAAATAACCAATCTTGATGCAATATATATTTCTATACCTATGTATGCAACAACAAAGTATAATTTTAAAAATTAAATGTTACATAATATGAAAAACAAATGAATTTTTTTTTTTATAGAAAAAAATTATACCGAGAAACTAGTTTAAATAATAATGTATTTATATCATTAAGTACCTTTATACTCCATCATAACGTTAAATCTCAAGATCAATTTTATTAACTTGTAATTTGGAGTATTTTTAATAATTCAATATTATTATTGATATATTGTATTTGCACTTATATTTTTTTTTCGTACTCGGTCGTTTTTTTCCTTTCCTTTTTATTTGTTTTTAGTTTAAGTATTCATTATATTTTATTTTTGCTAACTTAGTTTTGTCCATAAATTTAAAACTACATACGATTACTACAAAAAAAGAAGTTGCAATTTATTCGGAATATTAATTGTTCTAAATAATTTGCAATGGAATCATATTTGTAATTTATCAGAAATTTTTAGCTCATGTAATGTTTTCATTGTAATTGTCATTTTAATGTTAAAATTATACTGTAAATGTATGTTATGCATTGAAAATTTAATTCACAGATACATTAAAAGTAGTAAAATGTAATTTATTTAATGAACTTCTTGGATTACATTTTTTGGCAATAAACAAAAACCTTGCCTACATAACACTTATTGTAATTTGTTGATAGCGTATGTATTATTTTATTATAAACCAAATTAAAAAATACTGTGTTTTTGTTTGCTGAACCCTTTGTAAATAAAACAAAAATTAAAATATATTTGCTGCCAGTTTTGAACAATACAAAAGACCAGAAATTACTTGTTAGATATTTTATATTTAACTATTTATCAGTTGGACTAGTTGGAGCATTTATAATATGTGTAATAAAATTATATTAGTTTCATGAATTATAATATATGGTTTCCAAAAATCAAATATTGTAAGTTTGGTCATTGGTCTGCTAATGGTAGATAATGAAGAGGTGGATTATAAATTCAGCCCCTTCTTATTTTTCCGATAATACTTAAAATAACACGATTGTAGGAAAAAAAAAAAGGTAGGTGTATTATTTTCTTATCTTGTACACACCGTCAAAAATAGATCGGATTCGGGAAAAAAGGAACCTGGAAAGTCACTCTGCAGCAGCCTGCTGTACGCCTGTATTGCCGAGTAGGTTTCGAGCATAGAAATAATCATGAAGACAGAATACGGAGCAAAACTCGTGCGGCCGCCCGTATGAAAAAAGTAAAGCGTACCAAAACGAGTCGCACAGTCTACACTCTACATCGTGCATTTACCCTTGGATCATATTATCGGCTGTTTATTCGTGAAACACAGTGTATTTCACAAAATTGTTCAGAAGAGACATTTTAGTGAAGATGCTCTGCATTTCACTTTCACATAGATGGCGTTTATTTGAATGAAATTATTATTTTTAGGTACCAAAGAAGTATTGAATATATACCTTATTATTAATTTTGTCTCATCTTATAATTATAGTCCTGGTGTAAACTGGAAAAATGTGTTACATAAAATTGTTTTTAAATTTGCGAACCATCAAAAAAAAATTAAAACACAGTAAGTGATCTAACTGTGTTTCTTATTTGGTTATTGCATTTATGAATCATTAGAAAAAAAAATTAAAAGAGACTGGTCACGACGTGGTTGGAAGGTGTGGGGGGGTTGACCTTGACTACGAAATTTATACAACAGGCGGAGTTCGGCCGTTCGGGGCCCATTTAACGGTAAACGGAAAAAAAGTCTCCCGTTGCAGTATAAATAAAACGATATTTCCGCTATATTTGTTATTTTATTTATAAAATAAATTTACCTGATAAATCTTATCTAGCCCTCTACCACCCTCCAGCCTTATCGTTACCAGTCCTGTATATCTTAGTCCGTGACATTCACCTTTATTAGATAAAAGAATTACACGTGTTTTGCAACTTGTGAGTTGCGATTGCCAGACGCCAATTTTGTTGTCTGATCACTGTTGACAGTTTCATTTTCACTTCATTTTTTCTTTATTAGGTAGTTGTTATTTGTTACATACTGACGTGACAGATATTTATGTTCTCGTGACTATTATTTTTAAAAGGAAAAATACAAAACTAAGCGATCTGCACAAATCCGCAAACACGTTTAGAAATACATATCAGCATTAAATTAGCTAACAGCTAAGTCATTTACAGTGTGAATACCTATAGTAAGTATTTTGTATGTTTTAATAAATATACATATTTTTTCAACGGTTAATAGATAGCATGAAAAAAAAAAATTGAATACCTACTCAATGCTTACGCAGGGCCAACCTTAAGTATAAATTTTCCATAATATCTAAGTTTAAAATGCCGCCGCTTCATATTATCTAATTATACACTTAAAATTGACACCTGGTGTGATTATCTTGTTAATCGCTGTTTAAAGCTTATTTATACTTTATATATAATTTTATTATATATAACTTTATATAAAATAATGTAATATAACTTTATCAGAAACACTTGTCTAGTTCTTCATATCTCTGTATTGTATTTTAATACATTTATATATATATTTTTGTGTTTTCTATTAATATATATGATTTGCTATCACAACTAAATAGGTAATGATTATAATTTATCTTAACAATTTTAAATTTAAATTTACTTTTGTTTTGATTTGAAAATAGCGGTGGCGAGCAGTGAGGACATGTGGAAAAGCCCACTATATTAATAACAATATGACTTTCTATTATTTTTCAAAAAATATTTTGTGTTTCTGACACATTAGTATTGTTTGGGTACCCACTTAAAATAAAGTGTACTTAAATCAGGCGCTTAATTTCAGTTTTTTAATTGTTGGTACCAAAATGTTTGTTCACCTTCAAAATAACTTTCACTAAGTATTTAACATTCAATCCCTTTCCCCACCCAATGATCAATTTGACTTAAAATATACATAATTGTAATGGTTTATGTTCACAGTAATTAAGAGAAACTAAGTTGGACATTATTCAGTATGGAACCATTTAGAAAGTCTAAAAATAATTCTGAAGTAAATTCCAAGTAAGCAAATACACTATTAGGAAGTGCAACATTACAAAAGTTTTATAATTTATTTAATTGATATATTGTATCTGATTTAAAAAGTAATCGACTGAGTACTGAATAATAAAAAATTAATTAAAAATTAATTTTGTCCAAAGTCCAGTCACTATTAAGAATATGAATCACATATATTTTATATCTTTTTTAATTAAATATAACAATCATAGATCATTTTAATCACTTTAAATTTAATTTTATTTCTTTGTCTGTTTATTAATAATAAACCTAATGTCATTAAATTTGAACAATAAATATTTATTACTACTTGTAGTATTCGTCTGATGACTGGTTTAGTGTTTATTTTGTTATTATTATTTTTTATTTGATCATTATTTGCTAAAATGTACCATACTATTGCAAAACCATTTTAAAACCTATGCACCGAACCAATTTAATATAATATTGTCTAACACATAATTCCATTTCATATAAATACATTTAAATAACTAAGAATCTATTCATATATATAATTATCAAAGTTCTTATTACAATCTACATAATATTAAATTTTTAAATAATTTTTTTTTTTTTTAGAGCTAAACGCGAATTTGAAGAAGAAATAATCACAACAGATACCGTAATAAAATTCGAAAAGGATTATGTGTTGGAAGGATCTGTTAAAGACGAATGCCATTCGTCGGAACTAATTGCTCATATGGATACAGAGGAGACTGCGCATTTGAGGCAAACATTTTCAAATTCTGATACATTATTTAACTCAAAAGCACTCATCACAAGACCTTCGAAGATTCATACCAGAAAAATAAAAAAAGTGTTTATTTGTGACAATTGTGAAGAGATACATTAATAAAGGGTTTTCTCTTACCGGAGTTTTAAAAAGGCATAAAATGTTACATACAGGAGATAAGCCATATAAATGTGATATCTGTGGTAAAGGGTTTATCCAAGCAGGAAATTTAAAGAGGCATACATTGATACATACAGGAGATAAGCCACGTAAATGTGATATCTATAGTAAAGGGTTTTCTCAAGCAGGAAATTTAAAAATGCATCAAACGACACATACAGGAGATAAGCCACATAAATGTGATATCTGTGATAGTGTTTTCTCTTACCAGAGTTTTAAAAAGGCATAAAATGTTACATACAGGAGATAAGCCACATAAATGTGATATCTGTGGTAAAGGGTTTATCCAAGCAGGAAATTTAAAGAGGCATACATTGATACATACAGGAGATAAGCCACATAAATGTGATGCCTGTGATACAATTTTTTTTTCAGGATCAAGTTTAAAAATCCATTGCAAGAAATAATTGAAATTATGACTACTTTTAAATGATTAACTTATGTATATTTATGTTCCTCTGCTAATTTACTATTAGCTATTAAACAACTGCTATGATAGCACTATTTAGTTTAGTAATTGACACATTTTTTATAGAGATGTTTAATGTCAAATTTAAGTTAAAATTTATGTATAATAATTTAAAATACCTGCTTATAATGTTCAATAAAATATATCTTAATAGGGAGAATTTAATTTTAAAAATGATTACCTATATACCTATATCCTTATAAAAAATACTGGAGGATAATGGAGGTTAGGTAATAACCGCTCCGCTGTACATTTAGTTTCGATTGTTCTCAACATTGAGGGATAAATTACTGTAATGTCTGTGTTTATTATGACCTCAATGCACCATTGCATACACAAATATGTATAAAAAATAATTAAAATGTCTACTAATAGCAAAAAAGGAGTCATAACTACTACTTATACAGAAAATCGTGTTTATATATTTCTAAAAAAAATACGTATAAAAACAGTATACTATATGATAAAAACATTTTGTGAAAATCCAACTATCTATGGTAATAAGTCTTTGAATCATAAAAAGAAATACATAATTTGTTTTGTTTTGTTTTGTTTTTGCATAAATATGCAAAATGTAGTGAAAATCTGTGTACAAGTAGTCGAAATAATGCTTTGATTTTTCAGTGAACCGAGTTGCTTTATTTAGGTTTTAATATTTGTACTTAGTAGTTAATATACACAACTATTACTGTAATATTAAGAATTGTAAGTACTATAAGTATATTTTTTTTGTATTATTTATGATCAGCGTCCACTGGTATTATGATAAATCGAAAAAATATTTGTTGGAAAATATATTTTTCAATCGATATTCAATTGCTTGAAATTTCCGTCAAATCCGAAGAGCTCCGATTGTTCGTTGCTGTTCGTGTCTTTCGGCTTTTTGTCCATGTCCGCTTTCAACGAAAGTATTCCATTCATGAACATTTCTCTTTCCGCTACGATGTTCTCCTTGCAGAGTTCTGAGGATAAACCGTTCAAACCGTATCGATTAAAGGTAATATCGGACGGGGTTATAAGTTTACCATATAAATAGGTTTAAAAGGTTTAAAATAAATAGTTCCAAAAAAAAAAAATATTGGATATCCATGGATCCATAAACTTATACTCGTAACTTAAAGTTTTTCAGACTTCAAAGCAACCTTTTATGAGTAACCTTAAGTCTTTTTAATGTAAAACCATTTTTTGATAAATTAATATTTAATAATGTTCATTAAGTTAAAATATTTTTACAAAATATTTGTTGTTTTTTTGTAACCCAACAAATAATTGTCGATCACTTTCAGCATCAGTTAAATTAAGGCGCCCGGTGTCAATGCCCTTTTGTCCTCAAAAATTCACACTGCCTTAATAACGATACCGCCTTGTAGAATCAACCAAATTTCATGTTTTTTTTTTTTATTTGCTAGAGAAAAATATTCTACAGCGCGCATCGATTTCTGTTTTTCAATATTTTATTCTCAAACTTAATAATATGACTAAAAAAAATACATTATAAAAAGCATTTTTTTCAAACTTTTAATACAATTTCAAATAATAAGATACAAGTCAGAAAACTATGCGGGCAGTAGGTAGTCTTCTTTCAGATAAAAAAATATTCATCAAAATCCGGCAATTCTACAAAGTTTGGGAGTTATTCCCGTAGAGTAATTTTTTCGATATAAAACACCCTATCAACTCCCCTCCCCTAAATAGGTATCGGGTAGTAGATTAGTGGAAAGTCTTATAATTGAGGTGGCAACTAAAATTTTCAAATTTTATTTAATTGTGATAAATTTGAAAAACTGGCACCGGGACTCTTAAGGTGGATTCCTACTACACCAATAATATTTTATAATATATAAAATGCAATATAGATTTAAATATAACATATTTACTCACCGCCCAGTTCTTTAATGGATTTATCGCAACCGCCTAAATCTGACGGAATGCATTCTTTTTTGATATGTTGCAGTACATCCGATGGGTTATTATGCATAAATATCTAAAAACGAACACGAATTTTTTTCAGATGTAACAATATACTATCGTAAATGAATTTCAAATGGCATAAATGAGTATGTTTTTATTTGTACAAAAATCGTTTCACATAATTGTATTTCACATGGAAAAACTTGTAGGGTTCAGTCATATTATTAATACTTAGTAAAATAGTACTTGATATACTATAGAAGGGAAAAATGAAACACTACGATGTATATGTAGATGGCAAAATAAATTATTAATGATCACTAGTCATATTATATAATATATTATAAAATAATCAATGTTATTGGAGTTAATTTTTTTTGACAAGCTACATTAAGGGGCCTCGTTATTACCTAGGCAATTTTTAAACTCGTCTTAACCGCCCGGGTTCTATGTTTAACTAATCGTAAATTACTATTAGTGTGAGTGAAATTCAATGAATGTACTTCTCTCGTACGTCATAGGCGCAAATAGGGAATTTCAATGGGGTGGAGGGGGGGGGGTTGGCTTCAGACCTACCATTTTTTAACTAAAAATTATAAGTTGATGCTTTGTCCCCATACCTTTAAATGATCCAAAATAATCATTGAATTATTACTTTTAGTTATAATCAATGACAGCTGTATTATTTCAAGATAAAAGTTTAATTAAATTAAAAAAGTCACAATCATAATATAAAATAATAAATGTACCCAATTTTTACAAAATTAAATTAATTCTTCGTTGAGTCATTCAAAATCATTTAAGACCGATTCCACATCAATATTTAGATCTTTTTCTATACTAAGTAAGTCCAAACGACCAAACTACTAAAATGAAATTGATATCTATTGTCTACATTATCGTACTAAGCACAAACATATAACTTAAACTATTAATATTAATTCCGATAATAGTAATAGGTTTATCGTTTATATGTAATTATATATACAATGCACAAAACGTTCAAAATCTCTGAACAATTTTTTTTTAAATACTAGTGTACCTTTGATTTTTTTTAAATTTATTTTTATGTATTATGCACCTTCTACGACGTATAGGTTATATTTTAATTTTTTTCTTTACAAAAATTACATTAATATGATAATAAATCCCGGGGGCTGAATTAACATTAGGGGGGAGGGGCTTACGTAGCATCCCTACGAGCATGCAGATGTTTATAACTTGATAACAATTTAAAATTTACTTTTCGAATTTTACGAAAATTTAGTTATTGTTTTAGCAAAATTAAAATTAGTACACGTTGTCTGATCTTGATTCTGAAAAAATATTTGAATTCTTATAAGAAAAGTATTTGTAGATCGTACTAAATACTTTGTGTTTTTAATTTTAATTTGAAAAAATTCATATTTTCAAGTTTTTAATTTTTATAGTTCAGTAGTTCACAATAATATAAGATTTAATTTTTACAAAATGTTCCGAAAATGTTAGACGATGATCAATAGACCATTTTCTATCGAGTTAAAATTTTTCTTCAGAATCGAAAACGTAAACTAACTAATTTTGTCAAAACTTAGGGTCTTAAATTGACGGCAGTAATTAGGCCCCTCAAGCCTTAAGAATCACTTTTTAATATTGTTATTAAAATATGAGATTTTGGACATATTTTCTTCAAAAAATTCTGAAATTTAACATCACTATATACTCGTATAATTTCATCGTCCACCGACTACTATTAAATACTTGAATAGGTATAGTTACAATGTATTTTATTAAATGTACGTAGGTATATTTGAGTTGGTATAGCGAATAATATTATTATCACTTAATGGCATCGTTTACACAAAAACATTTTAAATAAACACTCTGCCGAGTTCTTTAGAATGTTTATTCATTTGATAGGTAGGTATTTATAATGATTAATGGCCAACCTGGAGTACAGAATTAAAAGTAAATATTTATGCGTCTGTATAATACTATGTACTATACTGTTTTATTTTGGCAATAAAGTTGACACAAATAGCAAAAATAATTCATTGTAAATATACTTACACGAGATTGGATTTTTTTGGGAACCAGAGATTTTAAAATATTGAACACTACGGCTGCGTATGATGGTACGTTTATGAAGTGGACCTGTATCAGTTTGTACGGGAAGAATGTCTGAAAACAAAATAATATAATTTATTAATGATGCGTGTACGTATTTATGTAATAGTAGAAACAACATGACTGACAACTGCAATATACAGCGGAACCTATTTATTTAATAAACTTTTATGTAACGATTAAGTCTCTTAATTTTTAGTAATAACATTTTTTTTGATTATTTATGACTTGCACACTTATACGTTATTTTTAACGAGCTACATATTTGTAACTAGGATATCTTCGCATCGGTCACACCTGATATACTTAAATACTAAAATACGAAAACCTTAAATGATAGGTACTCACCGAACACTGTAAAGATTTCCTGAGAAAATTTGGGGTCACTTGAGTGAGTAATTCGTTTTTGTTCGTCGTGGCCATGTCATAAATAATGATCACTCCGTTTACCGTCTGCCGCTTCAAGTTCCAGTCGATGCACATGTAAAAGTATTTCGTCCACTGATCTAAATACCTGCCGGGAACATCTTCGTCGGTGAGGTTTCTCGTCACTATGACCTGGTAACCTTCGTCTGTCAAATTGCTTGAAAACCCAAACCACCTGTATTGCAGTATACACACGAGTGACACAAATTAATCATAAATAAAATGACAAACAAATCGTCTATTGCTTCCCCCCCCCCTATTCCCACTTCCTTCGGCTTCGTAGAGAAAAAAACTCCCCCTCCCTTAATTACAGCAATCGTAGTTCCGAATAGATCATTAATCGTTTACGATGCCAATAACGAGATTATTGTATACTAACGTTTTTCGCATCGCCGTCTGGACGTCATCTCCGAGCGGATCGCGGACGCCGAAGAATTCGTCGATGAGCGACCTGCAGCAAAAATATCCGTCCAATGATTCTTTAGTCCTCTCTATCCGGAGTTTTCGTCCAATAAAACAGTTCCGCAACCACGCTCGGTCTGTGTGATAATCATACAGTGGTTTTAAATTACAAATCGAAAGATCAGCAGTTGATTACATTGTAATATTGTAAACTAGATAAAGAAATAACTATGAATATTAAATAATGTCGACTAATAACCACGTAGTCGATGCCTTGATTAATTTTTATTGGGTCATTACTCATTTACACGACGTGTTAGTTTGAAAATTAAAAGAAAAGTACCCATAAATAATACAATATAATATAAGGTCTCGGAAAATAATGATCCAGTGAAATGTGTTTCTTTTAGAAGTATTTATTTTGTACAGCCATAACGAAATGTCTACACAAAATATTATACTTTTATAGTTATATTTAGGTAAACAAGACAATAGTGAATATAGTTTTTATTATTTTTTTAATTTTATCGGTACTGTATATGTTCCAAAAGTTCAAAAATATTCTTATAGACTGTTGAGTTTTACACATTTTAATCAAACTTCTTTTAGGAAAGATCAATATCAATATTAATAATTATAGCACACTGTAGTGATAACCTATACCTATTTACATTTTCTCAAAAATATCTATGTATATTTAAAAGGTATTTTTTATAATATAATATAATATAATATAATATACTACAATTTGATTATAAGATGTGTGATAATCAAATTTGTTACCATTATTTCTGTATAATATCATAATATTTATGTTTTGTGTTATCCCCATATTTTTGGTTGAATTCCGAAACAGAAATATAATTCCGACGTGACTTATCCCCATGGTATTAAATATTAATATATTTTCAACGTTTTTCAATAAATAATAATAAAATAACGATAACACGGCGCTCTGGATAGACAATATAGATACACCATCATCTCTGGCCCATCTCTGCCTTATCGATATCAAATACGGAAGATAGTATTTTTAATCCAATTTTCAAAAATTATAAAAACCTTGTCATGAAATATTTGTTGGTTTTGAGTTATGACTAATGGAGTACCTATGTCCTATAGGATAATATAACATTCATTGAAAATATTAGACATTTTTTTATTGTTTGTATTTTACATTGACTTGTCTGTTGTCAATAATAAGATATATTATTTTATTAATATCAAAATAATATTTATTTTAAATATTAAGTTATATATATATTTTAATCGTCAGTCATTTCTATACTTATGTACCTACTTAATAAAAATTATGTTTTTAGACAAAATAAGATTAAATAAATAATATTAGTTCTGTATGTAAAATAATTTAAAATAAATTTAATTACAATACAAATGTATGATGTATTTTTCTAAATAAATTTGGTGGAATATCTGTGATGTTTCTTTTAAGGGTTTCTCAACAACAACGACAAAAAGGTCATGCCTACTCAATACTTTAACATATTATTTGCATGTTATAAAATAATATTTGTTGGGTACCAGAAATTAAACATTACTTATATTTATTAATAGAGTTACAATGTATTGATGACTTTTACATTTTTAGCGGGTGTGGTACTAATCTCCGACTCTAAATAGGTCAAATATCTGACAAATTAAAAGGACGACAAACAATATTGATGAAAATAATTGATTTTTATCGAGATAGGTACCTACATTTTAAATAATCATGTTATTCAATATATTTATAAACAATTTCCGTAAACAGATCAAAACAAATCAATATTTTTTAACATTTTATCGTGTATAGAAAATGTTAATACAAACAACCAGTGGAATTTTAATGAATATACGGTCACTTGTTTTAGAGTTACACATTTTGTCGAAAACCGATTTTGCGTAAAAATTCCCGTTTTACCCTAATTTTTATGTTGTTTTACCCGGCGCTTTTGAAAAATATTGAGAACTTTAAATTTTGACTTCCCCAAACACCAACTAGATTCACTTTCCCATCGGACAAGGTACTATTGAAGAAAATCGTATCAGTTTACTGCCCCAAACAGTGATGACTGCACAAAAATAAAAATAATAAAAAAAAACACATCATTGTAAAATCAATACATTCATAGCTTCGCTCAGAATCTAAAATGAAAAACAATTTACTATACTGAGACAAATTTTACAAATTACATTTTATAAAAGTGTGACTTATTATAAACGTTTGTTAAATTATGAAATTGCAATGATTCATGATGGTGAGACACAAGTTCCGATTGGACTTAACTTGCTCAATTTATTCTAGTCATACTACGAGTTCAAATACATTTCATATTTAAATTGTATTTGATAATAAAAAAATATTGTGCAATTCGATAAGCGTAATTTTTAACAGCTCTTGATGTCAATATGTCATAACTCATAGCCCCCTTTTGTTACGTTGACTGAACAACATACTACATACCTATACGGCTATACTGTATAGCTACTGTAGCTCGTCTCAAATTGTACACTAACTTCTGCTAATCATAGGCTGTATTGCAGCATAACAAGTGATATATTTTTGGTCATGTTGTTATTGGTCTTTTATGGTGTTAGCTAAAAAAATTTCAGTTATTTTACTGAATGTTTATCTCTATATTTATACAATTTGTATGTTTTTCAACCAACACTTTTTATATAATACAATATAGTGATTTTTTTTTAATTTTAGATATCAAAGAAAATTTTTAATAATTTAATAATTATATTTTTATATTAGACTCTCAAATTTCCGTACGTAATTCATAGGTAGGTAAATACTATCATTGCCACAAGTCAAACTCACGCTTACACGTAAATATGAAAAGTGGAGTTTATATTAATAATTTATTAAAAACGTTTATTTTGATGGAATAATGTGAATAATGAATTTTTTTAACGCATTTTGTTATGTCATATCTTCTAATTTTTTTATAGTTGCATTTGAAGTTTTTAGAATATTTTAGGTACATATCTTAGCCTCCTGTCTCTTACAATTATTATAAAAGTTCTAAATATCTAATAATTGTTATAATTTATTGTAAAATGCATTTTCAATAACTAGGAACGATCATGAATTTAATATTAATCTTCAACAGTTTTTTTAGAGCGATGTGCCGTCCGGTTTTGACGAAATAGGTACCTAATAATAATATAGTTTACATTTTAAATTAATTTTATTATTGTTAAACAGAATATATTAAATATTTTCTTCTAATTTAATATTTATCTATAACGACTTAATAATTTTTGTTTAAAATAATTTTAAAATGTTCAAGTAGAGAGTAGTAAAAGTAGTAATAGGACTAGTATGTACTTAATTGATTTTGTTATTAAATTGTTTAGTTTTTAAAATGTTGTAACTTTTAAATTTTCTTCTTGGAATTAATAATTGCGAGTGGCTCTATAGTACCTATATTATGTGTAATAAGCATTAAAATCTCCCCAGAAATTTCACCAAATTTCCGCTTATGGTCGTCGTGCTCACCGGTGATGTTCGGCAAATGAGGCATGTCCCGCAACCATTCGATCAGTTTGTCTACCTCTTCGTCGTACGGTTGCAGTTTGTGGTCCACGTCAGTCGTCTGCAGATCGTCGGCTCCAACAGTGGCTGTGACATTGCAATTCTTATCGTCGTCTCGTTGCATTTCGTGATATTATTATTGCGTGATTTATATAAATAATGAAACGCAATGATCGTGTCCGCTTACGGTGTTGTTATCGATGCACGACACTGCAACAGGTGTTGACACAACGTGTGGGTTATGTGTGTAAGGTGTAATTCTAGTAGGTAACCGACGGGTATTAGGTTGTAGACCGATCGGAGACACACACTGTTTCGGTATACCTTCCTCTGTTTTCGTGTTGCTTTATATATATGTGTAAATTTATATGTCTATGCTTGTATAAAATGTACTTATACTATCCACTTGTACCTTATCCACTGTAACCACCGCGGTCGTTAATAATGATGTCATATCGCTGTTTAACGCGTTACTAACGCAATTATATACGGGTCCGTGACAATATTATATTATTATAATAACGACTTACGAACATATTATTACCGTCGACTCATCACCGCTCGTCGAGGCTGTTATTCGAATTTAATTACATTTTTTTTACCAACACGTTGTCATATTATTTCACATATTATTATAATACAATTCATTGGTCCTCACTTAATATTCTGAGTGGAGCGATGTATTGACTTTATAATCATGATGTGTGTTATTTTTTTATGTAACTCAAAAACGAACTGTCATAGTGACGTTGGGGCCCAAGGCCGTAACTTTGGGGGTTTATAGGTCCAGAGTCACTCCAGACCCCCCCCCACCGAAATTTTTAAAAGTAGAACAAGAGTTTTTTTGATTTTAATCGTAAAAGTTATAAGTGTCCAGTATTCATATTAAACAAATTTTGGACTCCTACCCCCCACCAGAATTTTTTTCCAGTTACTGCCTAGTTGTAGCCCATTCCAAATAAACTGGCCTGGATATTGGTAATAGGTACGTATATCACTGAAAAATATTATAAAACGATCTATTATTGGTTGTTCATATTAGATTCTGAGTGGAAAGATGAATGTATTGTTTTTACAGTGATGTGTGTGTTTTTTTTAAATTTTTTTTTGCGTCTGTGTACACGATAAATAGTCGAAATAATGCTTCGATTTTCAACTTCAATATCTTGTTCAATTGGAAAGTGAATATCGTTAGTGCATTGGAGAGGTCAAAATTTAAAATTCCCAGTAATTTTCAAAAGCGCCAAGAAAAACAAAAGAAAAATTAAGGAAAAACGGGAATTTTTAAGCAAAATCGATTTTGGTTTTTGGTGTAACTTTAAAACAAATGATCGTGTAGATACATGACATTTTCACTGTTTGTTTATATTTGCATTTTCTATACACGATAACATTTTTAAAATATTTTGATTTATTTTGAACTTTTTAGGGACATTCTCATTTTACATTTTTTTTAAATAAATATAAATTTTACTAATTTTAATAGAAAGCTCCTAGTATATTGTTACAATGGCATTTGAAAAATATTAAAAATCCTTAGTCACAGTTTTTTTTTATAAGCATTTAAAGTTCAAAAATTGACAAAATATTACACAATTAGCAAATTATTTTGAGTTAAGAATTCGTAAAAATTTTTCTTTTTAAATCTAAGGTTTTAAAATGTAATACAAGATTCCTTATAAGATTATCTACCTTTATCAAAAAAAAAGGTCAATAAGAAAGTCAAATTAAATTTATGGGCGTTTGAAATTCAAATTTTTACAACAATGGATATTCACTCAATTTCTCATGTAGCGATTTCCTTATTTTGTTGTAGTTCAAAAACTAATAACTGTAGATACATGAAAATTTCACTGAATGTTTATATTAGCATTTCCTATACACCATACAATTTTGAAAATATTTTGATTCTTTTTGAGCTGTTAACGGACATTGTCAGTTTTCAATTCTATTAGTTTTTTTTTCTATAAATATCAATAAAGTTTTATCTGTTGGGCCAAAAAGTGTAAAAATTTAATACAAGGCTCCTGATATATTGTTACAATATCAGTTGAAAAATGTTAAAAATACATATGCACAATTTTTTTTCATAAGCATTTAAAGATCGAATTTTGACAAAATTTATCAATTTAAAATTGAACAATTATTTTGTAGTTAAAAATGTATAAAATGTTCAACTTTTATATCTAAGAATTAAAAACTTAAAACAAGATTTCACGTAAATAGTTTATTCTGTTACCAAAAAATCTAAAAAATACAGAAGCACAGTTTATTTTTATAGTCATTTTAAGTTCAAATTTGGACGAAATTACATAATAAAAAAAAGTGTGTGTGTTATCAGTACGCGCGCGGGAAGTTAAACTTCTTTTGAATGGTACACGTGAGTGAGTGAAAAAGAAAGAAAGGCATGGATAGACTGGGTAATGAGGATAATAAAGAAATAAAAGAAACAATGTAAATTATATTTTTTATATTTTTTTTTGAAGTTATACTTCTTTACGCACGGTAGTGAGGAAAAAAAAAGCGAACGGGCGGCGTGTACGAACGCGAAAGCGTACATGTCCGTAAATAAATAAATATTGTCATGGTAATGTTGTTTTATTATATATTATAATAAATATATATATATATATCTGTATATATAAAACAGTAAGCTTGATTGACTGCTATCAACGCACAGCTCAAACCATTGGACGGATCTGGCTGAAATTTGGCATACAGATAGCTATTATAATGTAGACGTGCGCTAAGAAAGAATTTTTCGAAATTCGCATTTTAAATAGGTGCTCAAACAGGGACATTGAGATTCAAGATGGAAATTGGAAATTTTATTTTTATTTATTAATAGTTGCCATTGGTTACAGTCTACATTAGAAATTAGCATTTATTTATTGGTTGCCATTGGTTATTCGAGCAGATCAGGTACAAGCTTGCATCAAATCAAATTATTGAACATTGCTTACCAGGGTGGCTGAGCTGCACTTACCCCAGCAAGTTACACCCAAAAGGAGTTCAACAATCATAATTTTTTTAAGAGTTGTAATTTTTTTCGAGCAACCAAATTGTTTTTTAATATTTTTTATTTTTATTATTATTATTAGTATTCACTCACAAATCTATTGTCTGGATAAAAACAATACTACAAACAATTATCCATCGATCTGTCGAATAAAAATATAAAAAAAATAATAAAACTATCAATAATAAATAATTCCGGATACTTCTTCTCATTTTTTAAATTAATTAATATTTTTTCTTTCTTTTTCACTCACTCACGTGTACCATTCAAAAGAAGTTTAACTTCCCGCGCGCGTACTGGTAACACACATGGTTTTTTTTAATTATTATTTTTTATGCTAATGATTGATTCATTTTGCTCAATCGGTATAGTAGTTATGATTGGCATATGATGACTGAAATACGAAACGTACATTTGTGACTGAACATTATCCATATATCGCGTAAAAATTGCATCGATTGTTGTGCCTGATTTAGTAGTCGATATTGTTGGATCATTATTCAGTTGCAATAATATATAATATAATATATAAATTATAATATATAATATAACAACACTACCATGACAATATTTATTTATTTACGGACATGTACGCTTTCGCGTTCGTACGGCCGCCCGTTCGTACACGCCGCCCGTTCGTACACGCCGCCCGTTCGTACGCGCCGCCCGTTCGCTTTTTTTTTCCTCACTACCCTGCGTAAAGAAGTATAACTTCAAAAACCCAGAATAACTATTTTTGTTATTTTGTTGTGATTGTATAATGTTATTCGTGGATACTTGAAACTTCTAAAGTATACTATTATACATCTTTGATAGTATCACGGTTTGTTGTTAATGTGTAATGAGTTATAAGTACCTAATGGATATTGTGATATGATTAATTTGGAATTTATTATAGGTATCTATAATAGGTCAATTTTTTTTTTTAATACCATAGATAAGTTTATAACATGTCTCATACAGTCATAGTCCAGGCCCTATTATTTGTAAAATTTCGGACTGCACATTTCATTTTATTCTCGCTACCATCTTAGCAAAAGGAATGTATTACATAATACATATTACATATATAATATATATATATTATATACCATATGTATACAATAATTTAACAATGCAATTCAATAAAACAACAAAATACTTATCTTTTAATAAAAATCATAAAAATTAAATAGCATAATATAATAATAAAAACCTTAACTTAACTTTTTAATAATTAAAATCATAACAATGCATATTACTTTCTTGATTTTTCATCAAGTAAGTATAGTAATTGAAATGAAAAAAGTCTGAACTTTGAAAACTTCAAGAATTTGTTTTAAATAGGAAAATAATAAAAATTTAACTCAGTAATGATGAATAGGTGGGTAATTTAGCTAGCTTTAATATAAAATATTAATAAGAGAGATTTTATATCACACCCAAGCGGTATACCCAATTTGAATCGATAAAAACATTCGCGTGAACAATCCCAAAATTTCTATTTTTTAACTTTTATCCTAAACTATGATACCTAGCTAGAAATTTGGTTGATAACTCATTAAAAAGGGATTATCAGGTAGACACTAAATGTGGAATTAATTTTTTTTTTTAAATTATTTAATTTTTCACAGATAAAAAAAAAGAGTTATTTTCTCTAGATTTTCATTTAGAGATGTAGATCTCCGAAACTGGAGAACGTATTTTGTTGTTTGGGGTCTTGTTAAATCCACATTTACTAGGAGAATTGCAGTGAAGATTTTCAGAACTTTATCTAAAATCGTTAATTCATTACAAAGCTGTAAAGATGAAAAACATCAAAAAACGCCCAATAAAATTTATTTTAATGTTCTGTAGTGAATTAACTATTAAAGATAAAGTTCTGCAAATCTTCACTGCACTTCTCCTAACCAATGTGAATCTAACAAGACCAAAATCAACGAAATCCGCTGTCTGGTTTCGGAGATCTATCTCACTAAATGAAAATGAAAATGATTTTTTGTGGGGCTGTTCACGCCGACATTTTTCTGGATTCATATTGTTTGACCGCTTGGGTTTGATTAAATCAGTTAAACAATTTCTATAAATTCAAAATCAAGAAAGTTTACATGCCGATCCCTGACTTG